CCAGCAGGTCAGGAAAGACCCCGGAGCTGTGACAATGACCTTCCCGCCGCACCTCGGTGACGGCACCGTGAACGGCCCATGGGGAGATGCGGTGGGAGGGACGGTCACTCCTGACCGGAGAGCTGGTTGGTTAAGTGGGAGCGTGTCAGATGGGGCTGCTGTGAGGAATGAGGCCACCAAAAGGCACATGGGAGGGGGTGTCCGCTGGCCCATACTTAGGACCAAATTTCATGTGGGAGTCAAGTTCCACAGGAACCCCCTGCTTATTCCTGTGAGGAGGAGCTTCCAGCCAGTGGGGAGGTTCCAGGATGAGCACAGGACACCCACATGCACTTCCTGTCTGAGGGAGCAGGGACCAGTGAGATCACCCTGCAGCCCATCAGACTCAGTCAGGGAACCATGTGAACTCACAATGGACTCTTACACAGAAATTCAACCTTATGCCGGAGAATAATCAGGAAGGAGTTCCCAATGTTAAGAAGCAGGTTTCAAAAATATGTGGCTCAGTGGTTGGGTGTGGACCTAGGAACCAGGAGGCGGGCATGCAGGAGGTAGCCACTCCATGATTCTCTCATCATTGATATCTCTCCCTCTTTCTCCCCATCTCTGAAATCAAAAGTATTTTTTTAAAAATATGATTATATAACTTTTTTCTTTAAAAAAAAAAAAAAGTGGGCCCAAACCGGTTTGGCTCAGTGGATAGAGCGTCAGTCCGCTGACTGAAGGGTCCCCGGTTCAATTCCAGTCAAGGGCATGTACTTTGGTTGCGGGCACATCCCCAGTTGGGAGTGTGCAGGAGGCAGCTGAATCGGTTTCTCTCTATACCACTCCCTTCCTCTCCGTAAAAAATCAAATATGTATATATATATTTGATTTTTTAAAATATATATTTTTAATATATATATTTATATATATATATATAAATATATATATATATATATATATATATATATATATATTTTTTAAGTGGGACGTAGGTCAAGCACTTGCTCAGACAACCCCCTGTACCTTATCACCTATGGCCACAGGACGTGGCTCACACAGGTGCAGAGACAATCCCCTGCACGTACCATCGAGGGGCCAAGGAAAGTGGCTCACACAGTTGCTCAGGCGTCACAGCCTCCTGTCCCAACTGGCCACTTCAGAACTGCACAAAGAGGAACTCTGGTCTGGCTGAAGCCAAAAAATCCCTAAAGCTGTGTGGTATCTGTCCACTTGTAAGACGCCCTCCCACTGGTAAGACCCCCTCCCACTGGTAGGACCACCTCCCACTAGTAAGACCCCTCCCACTGGTAGGACCACCTCCCACTGGTAAGACCACCTCCCACTGGTAGGACCACCTCCCACTGGTAGGACCACATCCCACTGGTAGGACCACCTCCCACTGGTAGGACCACCTCCCACTGGTAGAACCTTTATCTTTCTTCTCTGGACCTGCCCAGGGTCCGGACCGTGTAAAGCCTAGAGGCCTTTGGCCCTCTGACTGCCCATCACCAGGGCTGGGGCCCTTTGGGCTCAGCCCACCTGGTCTCCAGGAGACCCAGTACATTCATGCCCCCACCCCTATCGGCCTGTGTGTTTCTTGTACGGCGGCCCTGATGGTGACATGGTAAGCGTGTTGTTACACCCACTTTACCACCGGAAATCAAACCAACAGGCTGGGCCCCACTGACCAGGGATGTGTCTCCGAGGGTGTGGTGTCTGGGAAAGGCGACTAGCAAGTCAGGCAGCGCTGCCAACGCACACGTGGCTCCTCTGGGTTTCCTCTGGCCGCCTCCTGGCTCTGCGGGACCGGCCACACAATGGGGCCAGGCCACGAAGGCCTCAGCCACACTGGGGTCCGGCACGCGACTCCAAGCCCCCTCCTCAGCCTGCAGTCCACGGCCACATTCCGCCCCATTGTCCTGAGCGGCAGGGTTCTGTTGCCGGGGGCGACACACGGCAGCATCCATCCTCCCTGACCAGCAGGCTTTCTGTCCCTCACCAGGCACCGTCCGCCCGAGTCCTCAAGGCCTGCTTGAAGGCAGTGGTTGTCCTAACCACTCCCTCTCCCGTCCCCCAGTCCCCAGAAATGGTCTCTCCCACACCACTCAGAGGAAATGACGTGCAAACAGCAATGACGCCGGCCAGCGTGGCTTAGTGCATAGAGTGTTGGCCTGGGGACCAAAGGGTCCAGGGTTCGATTCCAGTCGAACAACGTACCTTGGTTGCGGGCACATCCCCAGTTGGGAGTGTGCAGGAGGCAGCTGAATTGGTTTCTCTCTATACCACTCCCTTCCTCTCTGTAAAAAATCAATTTTATATATATATATATATATATATATATATATATATATATATATATGTGTGTGTGTGTGTGTGTGTGTGTGTGTGTGTGTGTTTTTAAGTGGGACGCAGGTCAAGCACTTGCTCAGACAACCCCCTGTACCTTATCACCTATGGCCACAGGACATGGCTCACACAGGTGCGCAGGTGTCACAGCCTCCCATCCCAACTGGACACTTCAGGACTGCCCAAAGAGGGACTCAGGTCTGGCTGAAGCCAAAATAGTATCTGTCCACTCTTTAAAATATGCAATTTGTGTGAACTGTCCCCCATTTAAAATATTCTATCCTCGCCCAATTGACATGGCTTCGTGGTTGCATGTCAACCTATGAACCAGGAGGTCATGGTTCGATTCCCAGGCAAGGGCACATACCTGGGTTGCAGGCTCAAATCCCGGTCCCTGTTAGTCAGTGCATGTACGGGAGGCAACCAATCGATGTATCTCTCTTACATCCATGTTTCTCTCTCTCCCTCCCTTCCACTCCCTCCATAAATCAATGGAAACAAGAGCCTGGGCGAGGATGCACAAAGAATGCAAACATAAGTTGTGAAAAAACAGGTAAATCAAACACAGGCTCCATGCACTCAGAGACACTATTTATTTCATCAAAGTCAGGCAGGATGATCTGTTGAGAGGTAAGTGGTCAGCGTCGAGCATGAATCTGCACACATTTCCACAGTGAGTTGCAGGCGATGGCCTGGCTGGAGTCTCACGATTCAGGGCATTCCATGCGAGGCGAGAGAGCTTCACAGAGTGCCCGCAACAGCCACCCGCGCAGAGGGCAGACGTTAGCACCAGACGATTTGACCTGCAATGATGTCACTATATACAAAGGTACGTACACGGACTCCCGGATCTTTGGGTCCCGCCAAGAAGACACTGAAGAGGCAATCAGGGACAGGACAGGACGGTGTGGGCACGGGGGCTTCGCTAAAAGGGGGATCACACTACATATTCCCACAGAGAAGGAAGTCCGCAAAGACATCAGAAGGCCGGCACAGACACACAGTTTCCAGGTTCACAGTTACAGACATAGATAGCATCAAAATGGCCACAACACTGTATCGGAGGGGGAGGAATCACAGGTAAAAGCTTCGTCTAAATTAAAAAGCAAACACACACACGGAGTGGCTGTGGTCCCCCCAGAGGGAGGACCACGGGGGTCCGAGAGCAGCCAGCTGGGCCTTCTCCAACGTGGCCACTTCTCACCGCAAGCGGCAGGATTCCCACGTCACGGCTGAACTGACAGCAGTGAACACGCCTGGAAAGGCATGTCTTCCTGGCATGGTTGTTGCCAAAATGAGCAGTGACTGCCTGCGTGCCTGAAGCTGGCCCGTGCGGACCCTTCCACGCCGCAAGCCGACATCCAGACTGCGGCCTGGGAGCCTGGCTCGCTGCTCCTGGCTCAGGAAGCGTGGACCGTGGTCCTAAGACACTGGTGTGTGTGGTTTGGTTAGGTGGCAGGCGCTCTGCCAGAAAGGTCTCCCCACCTGCTGGAAAACTTGATAAGGAATAAGGGGAAACAGCATTCAAACAACCCCTCCACCCAACACATGTCCACGTTACCCTGACGTGAACTCAGTCAAGGGGTTCTGCCATTAGCCACGCATTGCACCAGATGAGCATCCGAGGAGAGAGATAGCGGCTCCACAGTGATTTAGGTAAAAATAAGTCACCATCCAACCATCGGCGGTTGATCATCTTTCTCCTGCACTTCCTTGCCACACACATGTCCTCTTTGGTGAAATCTTTTGCCCACGTTTCATCTGGGCTGTTGGTTTTCTTGCAGTTGAACTGTGTAGTTATTTATATATTCCGGAGAGGGTTACTTTGTCACATGTGATTTGCAAATCATTTCTTGATTTGCAACTGCAAACTGACACCATAACAGCGTTTGTTTTTTAAGTGAACAGACTCTTCAGAATCTTGCAATGTCAACCAATAAAAAGGGCCCGGAACCGGTCATCTCTGTGGCAAAGCTGGAGAGGGACCCCCGGAAGCCCGGAGGCGGGCTCTTAGGAAACCGGATGGGCCTTCGGGGCATGCTGACAGGTTGCAAGAGGCAAACCGAGGAAAGGAGCCACTTCCCATGGATGACCATATGCACACGACACAAATGCTTGGGGAGAAAGTGATCTAAGAACGGTCCACTGGTCTCAGGAAACACCTAGCAAACACAGGACTACCGCACACACCTGTGACCAGGCATTTCACGTTGCGGGAACACGCCTGACCCGCGCCGCCAGGTGAGACGGACTGAAGCCGTCCGCTTGGTGCGTGGGTTTGAAAGCATGCACACGACTTTTAATGAGCGACCCAACACAAAGGCTATGCATTTCACAGTTGGTCTCTAACCACTTGAAAACTATGTTAATAAATTATCACTATCATCATCATCACAGGTTTGTGCCGGGTCAGAGAGCACATTATATGAACGACAGTGAACGCTAACAGCACTGGACAGACACGGATAAACGTGGCAGGCCACACCCCTCGTGGATCACAAGAGAAGACGTGAGCCGGGTGTCCTCTCTTGTGCACCCCGGGGACTCGCTGAGGGCTGCCCAATGGCTGGTGTGGCAGCGGGAGACGCAGGAGGCCAGAGTGATCGCTGCCAAGGGGCCTTTGCATGCGGGACGGGACAGCCTGCGGGCTCCGGGGCAGAAGCTCGCCAGCCACCGGGGCCCGTGCCCCATGGGGTTCCTTGTGAAGGACAACACCCCCCGGGGAGCCACTCTGCTCAGCATCCAAAGGGAAACTAAACACCCAACGTGTCACCCCAGACAAACACGAGTTATCGCTTTTCAAACAGCCACGTCGCTCTGAGAGGGTTCTCACTGGGGCCACCGGCCGGGCTGGGGTCCGCTGCCAGGGCGGCGCAGGCCGGCTCCGCCCGGAGGCCCTCACTTGCTCCTGTCGGGCTGCAGGCTGTCCACCAGGCACTTGAGCTGCTCCTCGCCCAGGTGGATCTTGTCCTCCAGCTCCCGCTGCTCGATGATGAGGGCTGACTTCATCTTGACGAAGTGCTCGTAGTCGGCCAGGCTCTCGTCGCTCAGGTAGCTGGCCAGGATGTCCAGCACCACGCGCTCCCGGCGGTCCAGGTTCTCCTTGAGCTCCTTGGCGTCCTCGTGCTGCTGGATGAGGACCCGCTGCTTCTCAAGCAGCGATTGCTGTGGGGAGAGAGAGAGAAAAAGAGAGAGAGAGAGAGAGAGAGAGAGAGAAGCCAGTGAGGACCAGGGCGGAAGAGGTGCAGCGCTCATAGGACAGCACTGAGTCCTGAGTGTGGGCGCAAGCACTCATGACCGTGGCACTCACCCCCTCCGGCCCCTCCCACCTCCAGTGCCACGTATGGGCCTGGACTGCCGAACAGAGGCAGCCAAGGTGACCCCAGTGTGACCACGGGACTGAAAGCAACAGAATCCTGGGATGCTCAAAGGGTGCCACGGCCCAGGCGGTGTGGCTCAGTGGTTGAGCATTGACCCCATGAACCAGGTGGTCAGGGTTCGATTCCCGCTCAGGGCACAGGCCCAGGTTGCGGGCCGGATCCCCAGTGTGGGGCGTGCAGGGTGAGGAGGCTGAACTTTGCAAACAGCCTGCTCCTCGTGTGCGGCTCAGGGGGCTCGGGGAAGCGCCCGCTGCGCCAGCGCACCTCCACCTCACTGGGCCACCGTGCCCTAGGGTGGACAGAGGCGAGGCAAAGCCAGTGGCTTCCAAACCGAAAGGGAAGCGATCGTCACCGAGTCTGTAAGTTCTGTTCAGGCTCAAAGCTGCTGAGATTGGGGCGGGACCCCGTCTCTATTCGCGTGTTCATTTTCTGCCTGGAAACAACCTGACGCTACGCCTTTCACAGCATCCCCATGTCCGCCTCTGAAAGCCTGGGCTTCCCTGTGCCTGACACGAGGGTCACCCACCCCCGGCCACGCTGAGACCTGGCCACTGAGCGGCGCCAATGAGGAGAGGGGAGCCCTGGCCAGTTTGGCTCAGTGGATAGAGCATCGGCCTGCGGACTGAAGGGTCCGGGTTCAATTCCGGTCAAGGCCAGGTACCTCGGCTGCAGGCTCCTCCCTGGCCCGGGCCCTGGTGGGGCATGTGCAGGAGGCAACCAATTGATGTCTCTCTCACATCGATGTTTCTCTCTGTCTCTCCCTCTCTCTTCCACTCTCCCTAAGAATCAATGGGAAAATATCCTTGGGTGAGGGTTTTAAAAGAATAAATAAATATATTTTTTTAAATGAATGAGGAGGGGGAGCTGCCTCAGCCACCCACAGCCGCGGAGTAACGCCCCCCACCCCCCCACCCCCGCTTCCGTTCCGCACTCTCTAAGGGGCCTCGGGCTGCTGGGCGCTGGGTGCAGCCTGGTCTCAGGAGGGCCACGCCACCCCTCCGTCACAGGCGGAGAGCACCCTCCGCCCTCCATGCATCCTGCATCCCGAGGCACAGGCGCTGTGTGAGCTTTCGAGGCATCACTCAGCTCCCCAAGGAGAACCTCCCGGCGGTCCTCTCCCAGCCCCAGCCCCCAGCCCCCAGACTTCCCGGCCGCATGCGTCCCACACACCCGATCGCCAGGCGACGCGCTGTCGTCCAGGTTGTTGAGGGCGTTCTCCACGCGGGCCAGGCGCCCCGACAGGGACAGCAGCAGGTTCACCACCTTGTCCAGGTCCCCGATGAACATGCGGAACTTGTCGAACTCGTTCGGCTTGCACACGTCCTTGACGATGGCCTCCACCTCGTCCCCGAGGGCGCTGTTGGCCTGGATGTCCTCCAGCAGGCTCTCCCGCGCGCCCCGCAGCACCTGCAGCTTGCGGCCGATGCTGTCGATGAGCTCCTGCTGCGGGGCACAGGGCGGCGTGCAAACGGGGTCAGGAGGGCGCACCCCGGGTGCGTTCCAGCACGTTCCAGCCACTGCTGGCGCTGGGACCATCTGCTTACGGACATTGAACTTGATATTTCAAGAGGACACGGGGTTCTCCGAAGGGCACACAATTGTTTCCCTGGATTTTCACCAGGATACAAGGGACATATCAGTTGAATTTAAAGGAGCCCGGCTGGTGTGGTTCAGTGGCTGAGCATGGATCCATGAACCCAGAGGTCACGATTCAATTCCTGGTCAGGGCACACGCCCGGGTTGGGGGTTCGATCCCCAGTAGGGGTTGCGCAGGAGGCGGCTAATTGATGTTTCTATCTCTCTATCCCTCTCCTTTCCTCTCTCTCTAAAATCAACAAAAACATTAAAAAAGAAAAGCAAGAAAATGGGTCTTTGTGTAATGGGTCTCATTACACAAAGGTGGCAAAGAAGCTGCTGGAAACACCCCATCTTAGAGCAGGGCACTCACCCCAGGGCTTAGCACAACTGCCCCCAGCGCACTGCCCTGCACAGCAGCAGGCACAGACGCCCGCCACATGGTGCAGAGCGCCCGCCGGCCTCTGCGCGCACCGCCCCGGGGAGCCAGGCTGTCCTACCTTCTTCACAGACAGGTCGTGGTCCAGGTCACTCCCCGAGTCCTCCTCGGGCTCCTGCTGCTCCTGCAGGTCCTTCATCTTAATCAGCAGCTCCGCCTTGGGCGCCGACGTGCTGTAGTACGCGGAATTGGTGGCCAGGGACACGGCCGTCGGCGCGCTCGGCTCCTCGCGCCTGTAAAAACGCCAAAACCTCAATTATCTGCGACCACGAGCACCAACCCACGGTCACCCGGCAACCGGGGCTGCGACAAACGATGGCGTCCTCAGAAGGACACTAGCCAGGGAGGTGGCAGCAAAAGGAGGACAAGGTGGGTGACAGGCCAGGACTGCCAGACGGATCTTCATCGAGGCTAAGGACGGGTTTCTAAAAGCGGGAACTGCAATAAGTAACGACGTCTACGTCTCCGCCCGGGCTCCAGCCAGTGTGGCCCAGTGGACAGGGTCCTGGGACCAAAGTGTCCTGGGTTTAATTCCGGTCAAGGCCACGTACTTGTTTGAAGGCTCCTGCCTGGCCCAGGCTCTGGACAGGGCGCCTGCAAGAGGCAACCCACCAATGTGTCTCTCTCACACCAATGTGTCTCTCTGTCTTTCCCTCTCTCTTCCACTCTCTCTACAAATCCATGGAAATAGATCCTCGGGTGAGGGTTTTTACAAAATAATAATAAAAATAAAAGTCTCCGCCCAGGACGGAAGAGTGCAGACAGTTTCCTCTGGCAGTGAGTGTCGGAGGTGTCTGAGGACAACTGACTGGGAGAGAGGCACCCTCACCCTGGCCGGGTGCTCAGTTGGTTAGCGCATCGTCCCCAAACGCCAAGAGTGCGAGTTCCCTCCCTAGACAGGACATGTATGAGTCCACTAATTAACACACACGGAGTGACCAGATTATTATGCGCTCAGAGATCATAATCATCTGGCCACTCCGTGTGTGTGTGTGTGTGGGGGGGTGCATGAATTCATGCATGGGTGGGGCCTGGCCAGGGGGAGGGGACATGGGCAGTCGGCTGGCCTGCCTGCTGGTCTAACTCGTGGTCGAGGGGACCATTTGCATATTAGCCTTTTTTATTTTTTAATTAAATTATTATCTGTGTACATATTTTAACATTGCCCCCCCCCCCCCCAGCCTTTTATTCTATAGGACAGACACGGAGTGGCCAGATTACTATGCGTTCAGAGATCATCATCATCCGGCCACTCGGTACATAAATAAGCAGAACGACAAATCCGTGTCCCGCTCTCCCCCTTCCTCTCTCTCTCTAAAGTGAATGAATACACCATGTGATGCCCTACTCTGGCACTGCAGCCTACTGTTGCGAAAGGATGATCGTGGAGCCTGGCTGGTGTGGCTCAGTGGTTGAGTGCCAACCCATGCATCCAGAGGTCCCTGGTTCAATTCCCAGGCAGGGCACACCCCTGGGTTTCAGGCTCCATGCCCAGTGCGGGGCGTGCAGGAGGCAGCCGACTGATGCCTCTCTCATCACTGATATTCCTATCTCTCTCCCTCTCCCTTCCTCTCTGAAATCAATAAAAATATATTCAAAAAACACAAACAAAAAACTGTGTGCAGCCCTAGTCAGTTTGGCTCAGTGGTTGGAGGGTCGACCCTCGGACTGGAGAGTTCCTGGTTCAAGGGCACATGCTTCAGTTGCAGGTTCAATCCCCAGCCCAGCTGGGGTGCATGCAGGAGGCAACCGATCGATGTGTCTCACATCAATGTTTCTGTTCCCTTCCCTCCCTAAAGAATCAGTGGGGAAAACACTGTCCTCGGGCGAGGATTAATGTATGTACATACACAGCCGCCCCTGGCCCTCCGCACCCAGGACCCCGTAGACGCACAGTGCGCACTCACTTGTCCTCCGCGGCCCTCGGAGAGGGCACCTTGGGCAGCAGCTTCCGGCGCTGCTGCGCCTCCTCCAGGAGCTGCTGGTCCTTGGGGAAGATGCCCTCCATCAGGTCCATGGTGGTCCTGACCTTCACGCTGGGGTCCAGGATGTCCGCCAGGGACTTGTCCTTGCACACGATCTCCCGTGCCAGCTCCTCCGTCTTCAGGTCCTCCGCCGTCCGCTCCCTGACCTTCCCGTAGCCCAGCGCAGGGGGCGATGCCCGGCTGTCGGGGGCGGCGGGGGGCTGGGCCCGGGGCTGCGGCTCGGTGCCCGGGCGGCTGTACAGGCAGAAGCGGGAGTAGGACTGCTCCGACGTGCTCAGCGTCTTGATCTGGTCCCGCTCCAGCCCGCTGGGCAGCGCGGGCGGCTCAGAGGTGCGGGCCAGGCCCTGGCGGCTCTCCCTCTCGGGCTGGCTCTCCGAATGCACGATCTTGATGGGCACCATCTTCACCGTGGTGTTGTCGATCACCCGCTCGATTCTGCAAATGGAAGGGCCGGACGCTGAAAGGCAAGGGCGCCCGGGCCAGCTGGGGCCACTCGGGCCTGCATGCCGCCACCCAGCACTTGAAGCCACCCTTCTCGAGGCTGGCATACCAGGCAGCCGGGGCCTGGCACCAAACGGGCGCACTGCTCCCTGTTATCTGGGCTGAGTCACTAAGCACACACTTCCCTTTCTTTTTGTTGTTTTTCTTTAATCCTCCCCCGAGGATATTTCCCCATGGATTCTTAGGGAGGGTGGGGGAGAGAGGGAGAGACAGAGAGAAACGTCGATGTGAGAGAAACACATCATTGGTTGCCTCCTGCGAGAGCCCCGACCAGGGCCTGGGACAGGGAGGAGCCTGCAACCCAGGTCCATGCCCTTGACCGGAATCCAACCCGGGACCCTTCAGTCCGCAGGCGAACACACTATCCACTGAGCCACACCAGCTAGGGTCACACTTCCCCTTTTTTAAAAAGTTTCTTGGAACCCCTACAGGAAAGAGACAGAAAATGGAAAGAAACAGCCTGGTCAGCAGAACGGGGCTGCATCCGGGACACCCCGAACGCCGGCTGGTGCCTGGGCTGCACCCCACAGGACCACGCCCCGGGGGACCCAACGTGCTCTCACAGGACCTATCGGAGACAGAGCCACCCACTGGCGCCCGGGAAGGAAGGCAAAGTCAAGCCCAGCCACGGCCTCTGGCTCCAGAGGGCGCGTCTTGATGGGCACCATCTTCACTAACTCGGCGGCTTCATGCCAGATCTGCAGCCTGAGCCCAACGAGTGACTATGGCGCGGGGACCACCCCCCCACTCACGAGGGTGCGGGGTCAGGCCCGGTCCCTCAGAGGCACGCGGACAGGAGGGGCCGAAGGCTCGGTCAGGGCTCTTGACTGGCCAGCCCTGCCCGCCCACATTGCCAGCGCCTCCACCTGCGTGCCTGACGCTCTGACAACAGCAGGGAATGGAACCAGGTTTTCCTCTGCTTTCACACAAGGCGTGTGCCCACTTCCCTGTTCACACAAAAAGTCCTACCAGTCCTGGCCAGTGTGCTCAGTGGTTAGAGAACCGGCCCCTCCACCAAGGGTTTCGTGTTCGATTCCCGGTCAAGGGCATGTAAGGCCATTCACTGGGCAGGAAGGGCACACTGGGCGGGGGAGGGCACTGGGCAGGGAGGGCAGGCACTGGGCAGGGAGGGCACTGGGCAGGGAGGGCACACTGGGCGGGGGAGGGCACTGGGCAGGGAGGGCACTGGGCAGGGAGGGCACACTGGGCGGGGGAGGGCACACTGGGCGGGGGAGGGCACTGGGCAGGGAGGGCACACTGGGTAGGGAGGGCGCACTGGGCAGGGAGGACACTGGGCAGGGAGGGCGCACTGGGCAGGAAGGGCGCCCGTTAAGGGGAAGGATGCAGAGCCACCTCCCAGGCCTACCTTGCGGAGCTGTCATCCTGGATGAGCAGGGGCGGCTTGTCCGTCAGCTTCTGGGGGGCGAACTGAGGAGACGGGGAGCGCGAGGTCTCCATGGCGGGCGTGGGCAGCGGCCGGGGCTGGGGCGGCAGCGGGGCTTCTGGCTTCGGGCAGGCGGGCTGCTCCGCTACATGCTGCCCCCGCTCCCCAGGCACCCCGGGGCCGTCCGCGGGCTGGGCACAGGGGCTGCGCGCAGGAGATGGCGGGGGCAGGGGCCTGCAGGGCACGGCCAGGTGGCTGCCCACAGGGGTGCCCGCGGGGGTGGCACTGGCCGGCCCCCGGAAAGGCCGGGGCTCCCGCTTGGGTGGCGGCGGCCGCTGCGGGGCGGGCCTCTTGGCGAGCGGTGCGGCGCTCACGGGCCGGGGGTCCTGCCCCCCGGAGGGCAGCGCCTGTGACCCTGGGCCCGGCGGGGGCAGGGGGCCGGCGCGGTCCTCGGAGTATCTGTAGTCACGGGGGAGGGTGCCCGCCCTGCCGCGGCCCTCCTGGGGCACCTCTGGCGCTTCCCGGGCACGGGGGGGCTCAGACACCTGGGCCGGGGGCCGTGGGCCCCGATGGGCTCCTGGACCGTCCTCCGGGCACTGGGCATCTGCTGGTCTAGAGGAAGAACGAGTAACAGTGAGCAACCGCCCTGGCTGGTGTGGCTCAGTGGATGGAGCGTGGGCCTGCAGACTGAAGGGTCCTGGGCTCCATCCCCAGTGGGGGGCGTGCAGGAGGCAGCCGAGCCATGATTCTCATCATTGATGTTTTCTCTCTCTCTCTCTCTCTCTCCCTCTCCCTTCCTCTCTGAAATCAATTAAAAATATATTTTAAAAATAAATAAATTTTAAAAAGAAAATGCCATACCATTTATAACTTATATTTTTAAAAATAATAAAAACGAGCAACCAATTCCAAAGGACACCTTCCTGAACAGGACCAGACCGGGTCTTGCTGATCTGAGATCGCTGTGAGGAATTCGCCCCGCAGGCATTTTCCCACGCCTGTGCCCAGCGCAATCCCTAATGCCAGGCCTTGAGCCCAAGCACACAGCGGGCACTGTGAGGCCATATGTGGGCGTGTCCCACAGCAGGGCGGGAGGTGTTGAAAACACACGCACACACCTGAGACACAGACCTGCGTGCGTGTCCACACAAGCTGCATTTGGGAGCAAAAATCAGAATTGACACAAACCTTTAGAAAACAAGGCTTGTGAGAATGCTCACCCACGGCGCTATTCAGAAAGCAGTATTTCATGCTGCAACAGGATTTTTGTGTGGCTCATTTCATCCAGGAAATCGCCACATACAGAGAGAGAGAACTTTCTAGGACGGGTCGCAAGTGAACCGATGACAAAGCCTCTGACACCAGTAGCGTGGTGTGAAAATGAAAAGGGAGACTTGCTTCTGGAAGCTGCCATCATTTGATCTTTTCAAATTCCTACCCATTTCCAACCGAAACCGGTTTGGCTCAATGGATAGAGCGTCGGCTTGGGGACTGAAAGGTCCCGGGTTCGATTCCGGTCAAGGGCATGTACCTTGGTTGCGGGCATATCCCCAGTAGGGGGTGTGCAAGAGGCAGCTGATCGATGATTCTCTCTCATCGATGTTTCTAATTCTCTATCTCTCTCCCTTCCTCTCTGTACAAAATCAATAAAATATATTTTAAAAAAAATTCCTACCCATTTCCAGATCCACAATCCATTCCTGTGTTCCCATGATATGTACATATACATGTACTTAAATGCATACACACATATACACATAAACAGGCCTACAAAACCACGCATACATGCTTCACACACATGTTCATCTGTGCCGCAGCTAAAGCTCAAGGCATTAACAGCTATTACATTTGCAGCAAACCAGCCGGCCACGCCTTTGCCGACAACGGCAATAAAATGAGGGTGCGGGGTCAGGCTGACTCCCAGACGGCCAGAGCTTTCCGCTGGAGAGACCAGCTCTGCTGTGGGAGGAGACCTGACCAGGGCGGCCACCCGGGCACCAGCAAGCGGACAGGACACCTTTCCCGGCAACCAGCGCCCCTGGCGGCTGAGGGGTGAACTGCACTCCAGGACATGCTACTGGGCCTGGGAATTAGTAGTTCCAACCCAGTCTTGGGTTACTAAGTGGCAAGTGTCCTGTCCATGTCCCTCTCGTGTCCTCAGGAGAAAGGTCCCTCAGGCTCATGGATGCTTCAGAGCAGAACCCACATCGCACACCCAATTCCTTGCGTTTGCCAACCGGGGCCGCAGTCCCCACCCTGCATGGCGGGAAGTCCAAGGGCAGGACCGTGCTTCCAGCCAAACACTGCAGCTCCTCCATCTGGCAGAGGACAGGGTCCCACTGGGACCTGAGAGGACTCTGCTCTCAGGCTGCGGGCACCGCCTCAGCTTAGAAACTAGCTGAGGAAACAGCCGAGTGTCAGAGCCCAGACAGTATCAACTGGTGTGGGGAGTCAGATTTTTAAAAAAATGTATTTCACTGATTTTTTACAGAGAGAAAGGGAGAGGGATAGAGAGTCAGAAACATCGATGAGAGAGAAACATCCATCAGCTGCCTCCTGCACACCCCCCACTGGGTATGTGCCCACATCCAAGGTCCACGCCCTTGACCGGAATTAAACCCGGGACCTTTCAGTCGGCAGGCCGACGCTCTATCCACTGAGCCACACCGGTTTCGGCGAGTCAGATTTTTTTTTTTTAATGGGTATTAGGTACACACCAAGGCAAACTGGAAGTTATCAAAATAACCTGAACACGGCAATGAGTGTTTCAGAAAACAACCACAGCCGAGCGGCCATGTGGGCAAAATTCAGAATGGCAGTGATACTGGCCACATGGCAGCGCCGTCTGACAGGGGCGGCTCTGGCTCTGACGGCCAGCAAGCAGGGAAGGCCCTGCGACCCCCACATCCCCCTTCACTTAGGCCTTGTGCCTGCACAGCCAACAGGGCGCTGGGTGACAGGGACACGTGTCCTAACTCATGACGAATCGCAAATGCCTGCCCGGCCTTTCATGTCCAGGCCGCGAGGGACTCTGGGAAGTTTTCTCATCCTCCTGCTAAACTCTTCCACTCCGGCCCCCACTGGCCCCCACCGAAGCGCCAGCACCTGCCATTCAGCCAGCACCCAGCAGCTCCGAGAGATGGAGGAGGGACGCAGCTGCACTCACTGCTCAGGCCACAGTGCCTAGCCACGCGGGCCCACATGGGATGCGAGTGTTCAAAAGGAGTTCCACTGCAGACTGACTCATCTGCCTCTCAGCACAACCATGATGGCTGGTCTCAGTTTAGGTGCTTACAAGGGTATTTCTTGTATCACATGATCTCACGCATCTAGGGGAAATAATGTACAACATAAACTGATGAACAAAAACAGACCCGGAGACAAGGAAGCAGCGATCAGACTGTCAAACCTCAGAGGGAAGGCAGAGGAGGGAGGGGGTAAGGGGGAGAGATCAACCAAAGGACTTGTGTGCATGCATATGGGCCTAGCCAGTGGCCATGGTCAACGGGGGGGTGGGGGCGTATGTGGGGAGGGGTTTGGGATGGGAAGGGGGGGTGAGGACACATATGTGATACCTTAATCAATAAAGAAATTTTAAAAAAGGAGTTCTGTCTGCAGAGCGCCTTGGACAGGATGTGCTGTGAGAGCCACCCAGGCGGAGAGCGCCTGAGGGAGCCACGCCCCTGGGAAGCACTAGTAACTGGTGACTCAGCCCAGTGGGGCGCCCTCTTCCTGATGGGGCCTGGCTGGCACCGGGCAGTGCTGCTGCGGCCACTCCTCTTGTGGGGAGCAGGGCCGCCTCCACCCCCCACCCCCACCTCCACCCCGAAACCTGCAAGGCAAAGCCATAAACCCTCGCATTGGTTTTTATCGCCCTAGTACAGTGGTCTGCAAACTCATTAGTCAACAGAGCCAAATATCAACAGCACAACGATTGACATTTCTTTGGAGAGCCACATTTTTTAAACTTAAACTTCTTCTAATGCCACTTCTTCAAAATAGGCTCGCCCAGGCCGTCGTATTCTGTGGAAGAGCCACACTCAAGGGGCCAAAGAGCCACATGTGGCTCTCGAGCCACGGTTTGCCAACCACGGCCCTAGTTGATAAGAATGCAGGAAATCGAGAGATTTTTGTGGATGACCTGCTGCTCTCCCATACTGCCAGCAGTATTGGAATAAATGTTCACATATGATTCAAAAAAAAAAAAAAAAAAAGGAATGCAGGAAATCAAGGTCACAAAACACAAATGGGAATTTGGGGTTCTTCTGGGATCATACTCCAAGTTGTGTTTCTAATAGCTTCCAAATGGCTACTGTGTATGCAAAGTGTGTATTTATGCATGTCTGTTTGTATCATGTGAATTTCACGTGTGTTTATTTTGCGTGTATAGATCTTGTCTCTGTACATGCATCCCTATGTTCACTGCAGAGTTATTTACTGTAGCCAAGATATGGAACCAGCCCAAGTGCCCATCAGTAGATGAGTAGATAAAAAAAGCTGTGGTTCACCCCAATAAATAATAATAATAATAATAATAATAATAATAATAATAATAAAAAGCTGTGATACATTTACACAATGAAATACTATTCAGCCATAAAAAAGAAAGGAAGGAAATTTTACCTTTTGGGGCAGCGTGGATGGAACTGGAGGGTATTGCGCTAAGTGAGACAAGCCAATTTGAGAAAGACGAGTGCCACATGATGTCACTTATGTGTGGAATCTAACAAAATAAACAACCATACAAAATAGAAACAGATTCATAGATACAGAGAACAGGCTGACAGCTGTCAGAGGGGAGGGGTGTTGGGATTAAGGAAGAAGAAAACACACACCTCATAGACACAGATCACAGCATGGTGATGCCCAGAGAGAGAGAGTGGGGAGGTGGAAGAGGGTAAAGGGGGATAGATGGTGACAGACGGAGCCTTGACTTTGGTGGTGAATACACCATAGAACGTACAGGTGATGGGTTACAGAACTGTGCCCCTGAAACCTTTGTCATTTCATTAGCCAATGGCACCCCAATAAACTCCATTAAAAAGCTAATAGAGTTCCAAGGATAAAATCACTGGGGATGGCGAGACTGAGAGCTAGCAAAAGCAGACAGATAAGAGGGCTCCTGCACCGCGCACAGAAGCTGCCCCTGCACGCGCTCCTGGTGCACCCCACATGGAGGCCAGCCACACAAAGGAAGGGAAGGAGCCGCACCCAGCGCCCGGGAATGGCATTCAGGTTGAGCTGGTTGTGCGTTCTCCTGGGAACATGCTAATGACACGTTACCAAAGAGCGGCCTGCCTGGGCAGCTCGGGGAGGAAGGAGGGCAGCAGGCTTTATGCAAGGCTTCTGGAGACCTGCACCCCCAGGGACCTGCACTCCAGAGACCAGCACCCCAGGGACCTGCACCCACAGGGACCTGCACCCCAGAGACCAGCACCTTCTGCTGAGCCAGCACCACAGTCACATACATGCACTTCTGTTCCAGAAGGAATGCGCATCCCTCAAATTCCCGTTAAATGCTACCTGCCCCCGCTCCCGCCCCCATGTGATCAGGAGTGAGGGTTTTGGGAGGTGGTTGGGTCACGAGGGTGGAGCCCTCATGAATGGGATTG